CCTATCATTGATGTGATTAGTGATGATACCTTTGAATATATGGCTGGGTCAGACATGACTTATGGGGGCTTTAACTGGAAACTGAATTTCCGCTGGTATCCTGTTCCCCAAAGAGAAATGGACAGGAGGAAAGGAGACAGAACATTACCTGTCAGGTATGTAGATCATATCTCTTGAAGATTATATAGATTCCCATAAAAACTAAGGAATATTGTAGTTTTCTGTTCTTTTTAGTCATATCCTCATTATGATATATATATATATATATATATATATATATATATACACACACACACACATATACATATACACACACACACACAATTATGACCCTTTATATGATCATATTAAAATCAATAACAATATTAAATCTAATTTAAATTAGTATAGGCAAACATTAAGTATTGGCAAAAATGCTAAATATCTTTTGAAGCTTTATGTATTCTTATATTCAAAATATATTTACTGTGAATTTGCTACCTGACAGAAATGTGCTAGCCTTGATACTTCAAATAAATGTGTGTCTTACTTTTTAAAGTATATGGTTTATAATAGAAATGTTCTCAACATTGAAATATCCAAAAATATTTTGGTAAATATTCTAAATATACCATGTTTAAAAAGCTATCTTCCTTATAGATTTCATAGATCCATCTGTAAAATTTTAATGTATTCAAAATTATGAAGGGTTTATTGCCCCAAAATACTTCAAATACTACTTAAGTTGGAATATTGATTAGTAACATATGGGCTTACTTGTAATAAAAAACATATACATCCCTGTCTGTATAAGCATTACCCACTTTATTAAAAAAAAAAAAAAAAAAAAAAAACTATCATCATCTTTCTACTTAAACACATTGTGGACTTCTTACCTGAAACTGAAAATCGGTTTCCTGAAAAATACTTTGGGAAGCATTCACTAGTTTAGTTCTTTAAAGATGAATTTGGCAAATCATCCTTCCTTTGGAACATGAGAGAAACACCCTAACATTTTTAAACCATATACTTTAAGTCCTTACTTAGCACTGTGGGGCAAGTTTTTGGAAACTGCAACTTGAAGTAAAATACCAGAAAACACTGTCATGTATCTTATAGTGAAAGGACATTGAACTAAAGGATGTTACTTGAGGACCTTTTATTTGTCATTTCACTTAAAGCTGCAACAGCATTAAGTGAAGACTTACTTACTGTATATAAAATCCATGATTTGAATAAAAATGTCTGGTAACCTACTGAAGGGATGACTTATCTATTATCACCTACTTAATTATATAATGAATTAATTAAAATTAAACTCTAAAAATTGGCTAATGGAAGAGAATGGCTGAAGGCATTTGCTACTGAACAATTAAATATTATGGAAATTAACTTCTTAAAGAGATCTGTTACATCAAAGAGAAAAATAAAACATGACTTCTAACATTTGTATAAAGCCATGTAAGTTATCATGTCAATATTTAAAATGTAACTTAGTAGTCTTAAGTCTTTTATAATCTTCAAATTCACCAAGTCTTATTTATACTTACCTTTAAAAACCTGAGAAAATATAGTGGTTCATGTTACCATCATTTATTAGAAATCATATTTTCCCAAATTGCTTTCATTTAGTGTTAGCTGATTTTTAAACTTTAGATTCCAAGTGAAATCTATCAGAATGCTTGACCAATATACTTAATGTTTTTATTCTTTTGAAAATGCTGTTTATAAGAAAGCATGTTTATACTCATTAAAAAAATTGGCAAAAGACATGCTTTATTTATGTTCTCACAGAGTCAAAAGGAAGATAACTAAGAGGTAGCCAATATTCACAGTAAGAAATTACTGATCTCATTCATAAAATAAACATCTATGTAGAAATCAATCATTATTACTTACCTTTCATTAAATAAAACAAAAGATGAATCGTCTAACTTGCTATATTTTAACCATAATTTATGTGGTTGTATTGCAGTAACATGAGAACTGATAAACTCTCCATATATTTTGTTTGCTTCAGTAACTGCACATCATTTTATTTCCTATCATGCTGAGGAAGCTGAAGCAAGAGAAACAGAGAAACCTCAGTCTTTGCTGAAGTTTCTAGATTTTTATGGCAAAAGGTTAATTAATTCATGGGCTCTGTTGTAACAGCCTGCAGGTAATTTTCATCAGCATAACTGTAATGTGAACTTGCTTCCAATTTATAATCTATTACTTGAAGATGTGATCATTTTTCTCACAGTCATACAAACAGATAAATCATTCTAGGTGTTGAAGACAATTTTTTTCCTGCTTGATTAACAGAATTCTAAATAGCTAAAGTGATGAAAATGAAGTGGAAATTTTAATTTTTGTAGTGGAATGCTTCATTAAAAATGTCAGTTATGACAGAACTTTGTAGTCACTATAATTGGCTAGTCATCATTTAGAATACAATCATGCAACTGCTTACATTGAAAGTGAAGTTGAACTTGTGACCTAAATCAGTTATACTACATTTAAAATAAAGTTTAACATGGTTATTCTTATTTTTCTCTTGCCAACTTCTGGGCTTTGGTATTTTCATTTTCATAATAAATGGAGTTTGTGAAATACTTGTTATTTTTCTAACTATGGAATAATATACATAATTCTTAATATATAGTTTTCTTTAATCAGGAAACTTTCCTTGACATTTAATAATCAAATTATATGACTTTTCAAGAATATTTCAATTATGTGTGCAACAAATAGTACTTTTTTAAACTGAAGTCATAAAACTAGGAGCTTTTATGTGAAATATGCTCTGTAGAAGTGTTTTACTTCTTTTCAAAAATTACCAACGCTTTATAAATGAGATGTTTTAAATAAAAATCTGGATTTCCCACTACTAATAAGTTAGAAGATCTTACTACGGTGGCCCGGAATTCTTACCTGGCACCATCAGTGGAGTTTAGTAGAAACTGCCCATGTAGAAATGGAATTAATACTTATCCCAAACTCCACAACTCCTTCTAATTATGTCCCTGACTTGGAGGCTGAGGGTCATTTGCCATTTGTCATTATTCTTGGACTTGAAGAAATATTTCTCTGTACCTGTGTCTCAACAAAAGGGAGAAAATATATTTATTGTAACAAATCCACTTTATGTAATTAACTTTATCTGGCTATAATCTTTTGAAGTTTTGACCCTGGTCTTAGAGGCTACTGCCTAGGAAATGGCTGGGTTTGAAACTCATCAAGCATATCACCCCTGTATAACTATGCATATACATTACCTAATGGAATAGGCAAGTAGTAGCAAAGATACATGATAATGCAAATAATTCTCTAAATCATTTAATTAATTTGGGGATGAATTATGCATTTTTTATAATGCATACAAATTGGAGGTGATCTGGTTTAGGCTACTGAAATAAGTTTGATTCCATACACAAAACATACGCATACAAACTGTTAGGCACTATGCCAAGTTCCACACATACAAACATGGGTAAGGCAACCTCTCCTGTAAAATTGCTCACTCTCTGGCACTGGCTGCAGGTATGCTGGATGAGGGCAGGAGTCTAGTGTAAGTGGTCCAAGTGTGGGTGTACAGGAATATATCTACTACTAAAGTGATGTGGACCTCTAGAAATGAGCCTGGCTTAAGTCTTATTGATTGATTTAGTCCTTAATTATGCCCTGTAGGTGAATCTCAATAAATAATTATAAAGATATTTATTTCCACTTTAATTTCACACTGACTAAAATAGATTTTTTAAATTAAAAACCTATTGGTAATTTCTAAGTAAATTTAACTTTTTTTACCTTTCACATCTTATGGATGGAAATTATTCTCCCTGCCATGCTTAACTCGTGAAGTGTTATAAAATATTGAAATGAGCAATGTCCTTGACATGAATTAGATTTTAAATTTATCTCTGATGATGTAACATATATATTGCAAAATAAATGTGACAAGTACCTAAAAGGATAAAGTAGAACACCAATAAGCCACCCCTTGCAGAATGTGGTTGCATTTTCTTCCAAGGCATTTCTATTCAATTTCTCTACAATGTTAAAGTTGATATAGTATCAGTATTTTTCTATGCCATTAATATTTTTCCCCACATAGGTTTTAATGCCTTCAAATGTCTAAATTACTTAGGTTGTTCCCCTATTTTTTGTGTGTGACTAAAGTTCATCAAGAGTTTGTTTGAAGTTTATTTTTTTACCAATTATTTTTTCTGTATCTAGTTTTTACATATGAAGTGGTCGCTTTAGAATTACGCAGTTGAACAACATGAAATTTGCTTTAATATTCCTGATATCTCCTGCCAATTTAATTCCTCCCCAAAAATATTATCACTGCTTCCAATTTATAATTTCACTAGTTAGTATAATAACTTGAAAACACAAATGTTACTCTACAAAATCTTATACAAATATAAGACAAAGTTTTTTATATTTAATAGCAACCAATTTACTTAATTTTTATCAGATTATTTTAGATTTTTTTCAATACAACCATAAGGTACGTTTGGATTGGAGAAAAGAAACAGAAGTAGATACCACCAAAACCTTTAAAGCACTCTATACAATAAAAGATATGAAAACAGCAGCACAGGGAAAGGTCAACATTGTGAGCAGAACAAAGACTGGAGGAAAGAATTAACTTTGGAATGCTCAATTAGTCAACATCCTTGCTTACTCTTGTTAAAATTTAATGTCTATTGATTAAGTAAAAAATTCACACCTCCAATAAAAATGTTTGAATCTATATTCTATGAAAAAAAAGTACATTTATATTATATTACTTTCTATTATAGTTTAGGGGATAATTTGCAACATTTTCTTAGCAGCCTGTTGGGATGAGAAGAAAACTAGGGTAGTATAAAAAATTTTCAGAGTGGTAAGTTAAACACTATATTTATATACTGAATAATTTTATCATGTTTACCAAAATATTTTAAGACTATTAAATATATTAGTCCCAGCTAGCCCCATTGTTTATTTTGATCCCCAAAAGCACGAAAGTACAATAATGATTAAAATTTGCACCAATTACTGTACATGCTTTTGGAAGCTTAGGGTTTTATTGGGTCCTAGGAATTATTTAAAAAGACTTGGAAAAAATAACTACACTTTTATTGGGAAATATAGCTCTTTAAGCACAGGTTAAGGTATTGATTCCCATGCTTGTTGGTAAGTG